CTGATGGAGCAGATGAACCCCACGTTAAGCAGAAGCCAATGAGATGGAGACCAGTACGAAAGAAGAAATATCCTGTAACATTAAGAGACTTTGCTGTATTTTAATTTTGTGTTTGTAAATTCTGTACATTTAATCAAGCTATTGTTAATTATCTATTGGTTAAATGTAAGTGGCTATTGTTCGAGACGAACAATACTAAGGATGGGCAGTGTTACAACAGAGGAAGTCACGTGACTCTGGTGGCGTGTGCGAGGAGTTTCTCGAATGAATGTGAATTTCCTAGTTTGTTCGGGACGCCCTCTTTTTTAGTATATAAGCCCGGCAACTAAAAGAAGAGAGAGATAATTGGGTCAAGAGAACAGTAGGCACCGTAAGTAAAGTGTGTGAATCACTGCGATTTATAGCGTGTGTTATAAAGGTTGTTAAGTTTAAAGTGACTGTGGAAATTCTGTGTATTAAAAAAGTTGTATCGAGAAAGAATAAACTAGTTTGGTCAAGAAGGGACTTGTATCGCTGAAGTTCCTCGCAAAGAATTTTTACCGGAAATTATCAAACAAGCAGATACGTAACAATATGCTTCAATTTATTTTCATACACATTTCCTAGTCCTATAAATAAATTTACCTAACACTGGTGCATTAGGAAGAAGTGGCTTTCAAAATAACATTCTTCAAAAATAAACTTTTATTTTCTCTTGTTGGCTAAATATCAATAATATGTTTGACAAATCTGTATCTTTTTTTTGGTTTGTTGTTCCAAATGCATAATAGGATTACACTAATAGTTTAGCTGTTCTGTAGCTTTTAATTTGTTAAATTGTTTGTTTCTTATTTTTTTCTTTGGATTTTTATCAGTTCCACGTTACCACACTACTGAAAGCGCGAAATGCTTTGTTAATAAAAGTTTGAGACATGCGCTGAAATGAAAATAAGGCCTTAGAGGGACTAGTAATAGAATGATACAGAAATCGTGTTGACCACGATGAATTTTAGGGTTATTTCATCTATCTATCAAAATTGCTATTTTAAGATAAAATATTTTAGACATTTGTTAAGCTGTTGTCCGTCTTGATTAGCTTTTGTAGTAGAATAATTTGTAATTTAATATTCACTACACCTTTGAGTTCTTTCACCATGCCAAAGGGAAAAAGAGGAAAATCAAAAGCTGGTAAGTGTGTATTACTAAGCCTAATTCTAGTGATGATAGTAATTATGGTTTCTTGTTATCCTTACATAGATAGTTATTGTGATTTTGTAATTCTATAAAAACAGTCGGTACAAAAAACAAACTTGTGCAGCCTAGACGAGTATTACTAGGCATATTTTGGAGAGTAAACGTATCGTTATCAGTAACTGTTATTACTCTTTAAATTTTATAGGAAACGTACCTCGTGCAAATTATTAATTAATAAAGAAGATAATACTAAGGCCAAGTAAAAAAAAAGATTAGCGTTCGGAATTTTCCATAAAGAAGGAGGTCCTTTTTCTTTAATGACCTTTTAATCTTATAACGAAAGTTGGCACCCATTTTTTTCATGATTGATGCTTGTTTTCAAAGGATTCATGGCAAACGGAAGTTTTTTTTTCATCAAAACAATATAGAATGTATAACAAAAAGAAAATGACAAAATGAGTCGACTGTGTTCATCTCATTTTTTTTTATTAAGAAGTCTTCGTTTCATTGATAAATGAAGAAATAGCCGAAAAAGAAAGTGGGTGGAATTGCTAAACTTATTTTTAAATTTATTCACTTGGCCTAATTTCAGTAACAACAAGCATAATAATTGTTATGTATTACAGTTTCTAATAGCCTAAAACTTGTTTAAATTGTAATTTAGATTTATTAGTTAAATAAATGCTGATTTGTATACAATTTATGATATTTGCTAACGAGATTGATACACAGTTTTTTTGTTTTATACAAATATGTTTTAATATACAAACAATAATAAAATTTACAGTAACAGTTATTACAAGCTGCTACTACAAATAATGATTTATATATAAAAGTTCCACAAACTTACAAGCAATACAAAGTCTTCTTTCTAGTCTGGAACTTAATTGATGTCTTATCGAGGATTCCCGATGAGCGAGTTAATTTCAAGCTGATGTAGGTATAATCCACTTAATAGGGAGCTTTCTAGCTCTGTATTCTTTGCTGATTTTTTTCCACCGACGAAGTTGAGTAGTTTTTTCGTAAAAGTACTAATGTCCGATGTGAATCCACTGAAGTTAAATGGTTTGTAATGTTCGAAATTTATAAACGTTATTTGTCAAATATCTTAAGTTTCCCGATTAATAAGCGTTATAACAATCACAGTTACAGTTTCCAAAATTTATAGTAAACCAGTAATAGATACTGTTTTTTTGGCGCATCACATTGCTTATATTTATAGGCGCGTGGAGAGTTTCTTGAAACTTACAGTTTATGAAACAATACTGGCACTTCACTAGCATTACTACACACACACACACACACACACACACACACGTTCATTCCTACACTTGAGAATCTTCTACAACTTTAGAGAATAGGCAGAAGTTTTGCAATACATATTTAACAGTACAAGTTATATACATTTCTAAGTATAAATTCAATTTAACAAACATCAATATTAAAATAAATATATAATAATAAATCCGTTACACGAGCCACCTTATGCACAAGAGCTAATCGCCTGGAAAAGGAGGCTCCAAAGGTTCAGGTATAGCCATCCCTAATTTTCAACAACTGATAAATGAGAAGATAATTACCAACCAACACCTGCTGAAATAATGGCTTTCTTCACTTGTGAATAGAATAATGGGAATGACTGTCACTTTTATAATGTTAATCAACCATATAAATGGTCATTAATGTTCAGTCAATGAAGTACTTAGGAAGCAGATACACCAACCCACAAAATTTAACACTATAAGCTGCACATGTTTTAAAATATATATCTAATCTAAACAAACGTTATTATTTAAATAACTATATAATAAATTTGTTATAACTCCCTCCTTAGAAAATTAAAAATTGGCATTAGACAATTTTCAACTAAGATATATACATTGAAAACAATATATTAAGATATATACATTAAATGTAATACATAATTCAAAGAATTTTACCACTTCAATTATCATTACAATATACAACACAATCAATACTAATAATCTTATGACCATTAAATTGCATAGTACATGAAAGTACATCAGCACAAATGTTATCAACCCCCTTTGACGTGGATTATCCCCAAATCATACTCTCGTAGTGATAAACTGCAATTTAACAGTCTTCTGTTTTTTTTTCATTCTTTCCTTCCTTCTCTCTCTTTTTTTATTGAGTGGATGATCCAGGTCAGAATTTACCTTCTTCAGCCTTGCAGTCATAAACATTTTTCATTGTAGTTTGGGATGAATTCAAATTCTTTCAAGCCAATTCACAAGAGCCTGGACAAAAACTTGGAAATATAATCCAATAAGTGCATTTCTCTTGGATTGTCCTCCAACCATTGTTCATTCAGCAACTTCAAAGGATCACTCACTGAATGGCCAAACACCAACTCACGAACAGCAAATAATAATAGATTAACTCCTTCATCCCAATCTTTTTCGTCATTGAGACAGTAAGTCTGCATCATATTTTTCAAGGTAGAGTGGAATCTCTCAAGAGCATCTTGCAATTCTGGATGATACACACCAGATTTGATCTGTTTAACACCGAGCTGGTAAACAACTTGTTGAAACAACCCTGACTTAAAACTTGATCCCTGATCACACTGAATTTCTCTGGGCAAGCCAACAAAAGTAGTGAAATTTATCAAATCCTTAGAAATTTTTGGACTGATATGTTTCTCAAAAGGATGGTTTCAGGGAATCGAGTGGATGCACACATGATAGTTGACAAATTGATTCCCTGATCAAGTTTTTGGTAAAGGCCCAACACAATCAACGATCATATGACTGAAGGGTTTTTTGAAAGCTGGGATAGGCTTCAAAGGAGCAACAGAAACTTTCTGGTTAGTTTTTCTGAAGAACTGACAGAAATGACAAGTTTTACAAAACTGAAAAACATCTTGCCTAATTTTTGGCCAAAAGAAATGTCTCATAATTTTATCACATTTTGTTTACACCTAGATGACCCCCCCATGGGGAGTTCGTGGGCAACTTTCAATATTTCAGAACAATATGCTCTGGGAACATCGATTTGGTAAACTACTGCCCAGTCCTCTGAAGCTGGCACATCTGGTGGTCTCCATTTTTGAAATAATAACCATTTAGAACTTTTTCCAGTTCATCTTTAGGAAGTGCATATTTAAAGAGTGAAGAGATCTGCAGATCTTTTTCTTCCTCAGCTATCAGTTTACTTTTAGTAAATGGAACTTCACCAGATGAATCAGATCCCTCATGTCCATAATTGTCACTAACCGAGGTATTGTCAGCAGGACAATCATCCACAAGACCCCAGTCTGAACCAAAAAATTTCTTAGACAAATCTATAATATCATCCTTTGAATCCATATCCATCATTTGTTTTTGGCTTAACAGCATCATTCTTAGATGAAACAATGATCGGAGCGCTAACCATTTTGGGTTCGGCGACAACTTTTCCCCCTGCAAAATTGTTTCCCAACAATGATACACCCTTAATTGGCAGAGTAGGTCTTACTAGAACTGGTCCCGAAACTAGGTCTGATGCTAAATGAATGTTATGAAGAGGAACATTAACAAAGCCACCCTCAATACCCTGAGCAATAATAGACTTGCCAGTGGCAGAACTCGATTCTAAAGGCAATATACCTTTTAACAACGATGATTGAGTTGCCCCAGTATCACGTAGAATGGATATGGGATTGGCAGTGTCATTTGTCAAAGACACAGAACCAGTAGACACAAAAGGTCTAAATTCCTCTCTGACTATATCAGTGGCCAAATCAACAACATGGGGTGATCTGGTGAAACTATGACCATATGTGGATTGAACAGATACAGGTTTTTGTTGAGATGGTAGGAATTTCTTTTTATGAAAAGTGTTTCAACTTACTTTACATCCAAATAAGTTTTGAGGTCATCATGGGCACAGCGTTTAAATTCCTCAATTAGAAATAATCGTCTTAGTTTGTCAAAACTGTTGCCAATGTGTATAGAATTACACCATCGATCAAGATAAACCTCTTTTTCGTGAGCAAATTCCATACAAGTTTGATTATCATGTTTGCGATAACCTTTAAACTTTTGGCAATAAGCCTCTAGTACTAACTCATATGCTTTGAGAATAGCTGCTATAACTTTATCATATTTTGTACAATCTTTTTAAAAGAGAGTGGCATAAGCTTCTTGTGCATTGTAATAATAATGACCATTTTTTGGTGGGCCATTTTATGGTTTGGGCAACATTCTCAAAATGTAAATTATGTTGGAAATATTTATCAACTTCATTAACCTGATGACCACTGGCTACAAACTCTGAGAAACCAATGCAAGTCTTGCTGTATTTCATTCCAACAATAAAACTAGTGGATGAAATTGTTTGAAACTTAATAAGAACTTTCATAAATGCACATAGTTTAAGAAACATAAAGCCTTTTACTTTTGATAAATTTAGTTTTTTTGCATTATGATCTTTATTATCTTAGAAAATTACATTAGGAAATGGTATTTATAAGAAATGATTATGATATTTATATTTGTTCCAGATTTTAACTTATTAATTTATATGTTTTAGTACTTTATTTGAAAATCCCTAAAAACTTTTTACTTTTTATTGTCCATAAAATGCAAATTTTGTCAATTTTTAATTTTTTTAATTATCATGTACTCTCCTTATGGTCTCAAGTAATACACAAGACCCCAAAATAATATTTGTAAGTAAATCCAAACAATAAAGGAGTATTTGTAACTAGGATTGCATATTTATATATGTACATAAAAAACATTTTAATTTTGTTTCATAAATGTATTTTTATTTCAAGTTTATGTTTGTTTCAATGCAGCCATACTTTTGTTTATTGTGCCAAAGAAACTGTGAGATTAGCAGAATGAACTTTGTGCATTTGCTGTAAACTATCATGCCATGTTGGTGGTCACTCTTGTTCAGTCCAATGCAGGCACATTTGAATACTACTGTATATATATGATAGTAAGAAAGCTTTTTGGTACTTGAATATCATTCCTTTGAACTTTCAAACAAGTTAATTTCAACATATGTCCTTGTATGTTATTTCACTATACAGACAACTAATTGCCACTACTAGCGAATGTATGTAATAGTTTACAGTATAGGTGGTTTGAATAACACTGCCTGACCCTAGTTACTTTAGACATCCTGTTAGAAGAGATTACCAAACCATACAAACACCATAAATTACATAGAAAATTACTTTACAGCACTTATAGGCAAGATTTCTGCTGGAAGTCGAAACTTAAGCTCTTCAATGTATTGACACCCCAACTGTGAGAATGACATAGCTTCCTGTGTATTATTGAGACAAATATGTTTAGTCTATTTTACAACTAACATATGGGTTTTATTATTGCCACTTATACACTCAGTTTTGAACCATTTCCAAATATCAGAATAAACTTTTTATATATCAGTTAAACTATTTTAATTATAATATAAAGAAACAACAACAGAATGTGGGTCTTATTACAATGTAAAGATAGTAAGAAGAACGAATATAAAATTCTTATGCGGTACTGGTACTAGTAGTAGTACATACAAATCACACAAGTTTATAATTCTAAATATTGAATCATATTATTATTATTATTATGAACTAAATATAAAATTACTCTAAATTACTGAACTGAAAATTACTAATTTAAGTGCAAAAGAATATAAATAAAAAAAACACTTTCAGTACAAAGTGCTAAACCTAATTCATGTAAAGACCTTGCACTTGCCACTCGAGAGCTCTTAACTCTAAGATTCGTGGATCAACTTCTTTCGTAAGAAATATAATTACTTTGATTTAGTTTTTCAATATAATGATTAATATAAATAGATATATGATACAGCATGACTTAAGCTACTATAAAAAAATAATAAAAATCATATACATCCCATGCAGTTTTTCCAGAAGCAAGTTTTCTAAAGTTTACAAAAAAGTACTATTGACCAATACTAAATACACAACCGCTACATAAAATGGTAGTTACTATAAGAAGCACCATCCACATTCATATTGTAAAATCCAAAGAACAATGGTTTGTCATCTGCTTTGCTTATACTATGATTTGTCAAATGTGATGTATATTGTTTGCATTTACATCTAATTCTATGACATTGAGAAATATATTTGTTGGTTGTTCCATATCTGGGAGAATTGTAAGCACATAAATTATTAAAAAAGATATTTGACTGATTATGGTACTCTTGTCGATTAATAATGAAATCTTTGGTTCAATGATTTTCTTAACAAAAGTTTTTCATTTCCTTCCCTATGTTTCACATTGTATATGCACACATTTGTAGGAAAAAGAATTCTCCCACATCAGTACTGTTAAGCTCTTGAAGATCAATTTCAGATTCAAAATCATTGAAGGCCTGATTTTTTTGGCATCTTTATACGCTGTTCAAAATATTTTTTTGTAGTTTATTTTTCCTGTTCAAATGGTTTTGAGCAAAGAGTTTCTAGTGTTTTCTCTTCATCAGTGTTTGCTACTTTTTCGATTGCCTTATGAGATGAACTGTTTTAATGATCATAAATTTTTTTAAGCAACGAAGCCATTTGCTCGTTTTTCTTTACACCAGAATAAGACACTTGCATATTAATCCACTCTTTCAGTGGATTCATACTTTGTTTGGCATATATATATATATATATATATATATATATATGTGTGTGTGTGTGTGTGTGTGTGTGTGTGT